TTTTCGTTTTTTAGATTTGAAAGATAGATAAATATGACATTTGGATATGAAAAACACTGTTTTGAAAACAATTGATGTGTGTGCTTTTCTGTTTTGGAAGATTTGTTTTAGGAATTTTTTTGAAGTATGGTTAAGTATTAAAAAAATTGAGGCAGAAGAAATGGTTTTGATGGCTTTTCGAACGAGAGAGAGAAAGAGAGAAGACACTTCTGTTTTTGTCCGTCTTTGTTAACAAACTTACCCTAAGGACTGCACACACTCTCTTTTTGTTCTAAATTCTTCTCTTTCCTTCTTGCAAAAAGTAAGCCTAGCCCTATAATCTTAGAGAAATGTTTTTTTTTTTGGGTAGAATTTAGCAGGTTCTTTAACTTGAAATAAAAATGTTAGTGTACTCATACAGTTAAATGGTATGCCTAAAAATGGGTAAGAGTAGTAGTAATTGAACTCCACAGTCTGGGCCTTGTTAAGGTCATCCTATTGTTGTGCTTTTCATGGAGCAGTTATGTGTAACTCTTATATTTTTGATATAAAAATGGCATGTGCATTAAAGGACTCTTTTGCGGCGAGTAGACATTCTTTTCATGTTTAGATTTTTCCTCTCAATCACAAAAAGACTGACCCAAGCTCTATGCTTAAACCATGAACTCTCACCTCCACCTATAGAGGTAGGAAGGGAAGAGAAGGAGGTATATGCGATGCAGTTTGCTCATCACTATACGTTGGTACTTCATATCATGCATCTTCATGTCCAGGGGCGGAGCCACCTTATACTGAGGGGGTTCATCCGAACCCCTTCGGCGGAAAATTATCTTATTTATACATGGTTAAAATATTTTTTTATGTATATATGGTAGATGTCGATCCCCCTTCGGCTACTTCGTCAGTCTATTTCTACAAATTTTGAACCCATTATTGAAAATTCTGGCTCCGCCACTGTTCATACCCAATTTGACAATTTATATTATCCATTTTAACACAGGTGGACGATATTGTGAAATACCGTGAAGATGGCACTCCTGTTAAAAGACCAAGGAAGAAAGCAATCATAGTTCACTCAGAAAATGTAGCAACAAAAAGGTTCTGGAATAACTACACATGCCTTATCGAGGAACTTGGTTCACTCGCTGAAGGGATTAACAAGATTAAACCCGAGTATTTGAGGTCTTTCCAATTTGAAAGCAGGTTGATGTTATCTACTTGGATTGTAGTCCGGGTAGATGGTTGTCATTTCCACAGGTAATATATGCCTTTATTTCTGCCAATTGGTCTTCTCTTTACTTTTTAATGACCTTTTGCTCGACTTACCAAGAAGTGTTGATATCATTCTTTGTTGATTTTTAATTGCGCTTGTCTTTTTCTTTTTCCCTTTTCCAGTTGATACCTTTTCTCTTGTATGTGATGCTCTTTAGACTAAATTATTCTTTTTGCTTCAAATCCCACGTTTCATGTCAAAATGATGTGGCATTATTCTTGCTTCTTATTTTCATCAAGCATAAAAGTTTTGTAGGTAATATGCCTTTTCTGGATAATATAATTCATGTTTCAGTGGGAGATGGTTTTTCTTATATGCCTATTTTCTTTATCAAGTCTGGATTTCTACCTCCGGATTAAAGAAGAAACTCCAAGCACTTCCCAAGATAATTTTCTATTATGACCTGGAAACAACAGTGAAGTTGTACAAAACATTCCGGATCCATAAAACATGTCAGACACAAGTGCACGGTTGTAATATATGCATACACGTTTATAAAATATATATATGTAATTTCACAAGTATTAAGTCATGTCAAATATTGAGCATGTAATTTGAGAAATCTAGTTTGGACTTGCTGGTTTCATGATCTTGATGGGATCCACTGTAGGTTTTGTGAAGATAATGGCTTTCAGAAGCCAAATGATGAGCAGGCACTGAAACTTATGACTCTTGTGCGGTTTCTTTGCTGGAGATGTTTAAGGATATTATCTTTGCATATGGGGTGAGTGATGAATACAGGTATTAGTTCATTTAACATCTTTGATTCACTTTTAACATACCTTTTCCTTTTCCTATTATCTTTTATCTTGAGAGATCAATTTTTCTTTCAGCTTTGTTTTGAAGAAAGATTCTCTATTGTATCAGAGGTGGTCAAGGTAACTCTTTCATCACCATTCTTAAGTTCCTAGGTAAGTGTAGTGTTTAGCTAAAGCCACATATTAGGAGGGAACCAATTCAAGGTCAAAAGCAAATTCTTCTTCCTGTTTCTAGAATCCATGATGCATATAGATTATTTTGACACCACTTAGCTGCAGTTGCCAACCTGCAAGAACATAGTGCAATTTGAACAACATGCTAAAAAATCCTGCAAATTCATTTCTTGTGCGCAATGCGAGTTTTGTCAGAACGTGTCCTATAAATTGCTTGCTTGTCTGAATGGTGGAATTTCCCTTCTAGAATATTTTGCATTTGTAGTAAATCTCCTACATACAGCGATTTCTCAAAGCTTTTTCATTAATTTGGTTGAAGTTTCAGGGTAGAGTCTATTTGGCAAATGTATGAGGGCTGTCCTCAACTAGTTTACATAATGTTTTTATTTTGACTTTTTTTGTCGGTTATATTTGATGTAGTTATATTGACTTGCTCTTATGATCATCATTTCAGTGAAATCGTCTCAGCTGTTGTATCTCTTTTCTCTTCCATGTATGTGATGAAGTGGAAAGAGTTTTTTCCTGAGAAAGAGTTTAAAGAACCACCTTATTTTGATGGACGATCTGTTTGCTATCCATCATCTGAGATTCTTCGAGATTACTTGGCTTGGAGACAAGTTGATTGTGAGTACTCCCTATCTTATTTGTTATATAAGAATTTCAAGCAAATTAATCTGGTTATATGAAGAAATTTGGGTTTTATGACCTATTCTTCTTGCTGGCAAGCTAAAGAATGAATTGTATCATTTTAACAATCTTATGTCAATATATTGACTTGTAGGTCACATAAACAATCAGTACAATACTTGTTTCTGGCTGCTTGTTAAGTCTGGAAAGAGCAGAACTGAAGCACAAAGCTCTCTGAAGGTGTGGTATCTCATTCCTTAATTTATAGCGCAGGTCTCTTGTTTTTAGATGTAGCAGCATGATCTATTATAATATGTGATTCTATGGATTATTTTTCTGTCTAAATCTTCTAGATAATCTTTTTTACGCCATGTGCACCTTGAAGAAAATAGTCTTGCAGCCTGTAGTGGTGGAAGTATCGGTATTCTTGTTGACATCACACATTTTGTGTTTTAAGGGTGTGATTTTTTGACTTATAGTTCTGATAGCCAGAAAGCTGAATGAAAATACATATAGTTAGTCTTTTCTTTAAGTTTCTTCTCGATTTTGCAGTATCCTTATTTGAGCCTAGCACATCGCAAGCACTTAAGTTTTTTGAAAGGTACAGTTAAAATTTCTGTTCAAGCTATCACTTAGTTTTTGAACACTATTCCGGGCATGTATCTCTTGGAGGAACATAGTTATAAAAATTAGAGATTTTCACAAAGATGAGATTATGTTAAAAGCATAGGCCAACATACTATGTGAACTCTAACGGCACTGAAGCCTCAATCACTAACGATAAAGTACTCATCTACATGATTGTGACACATAATAGTGTAAATGGATATTTTTTTGTAATTTGATTCTGTAGAAATCAACTATGCACCTTAATTTAGACTGTCAGCATTGATTTGACCTTGATAAAGTAGATCTGTTAGTGCATATCTCTCATCCTGTTCTGATCATATGCAAGCAGGTTTCACTATTGAGAGTAATCTTGATATTCCAATGACCACATTAACCCTTTTGTTCTGCAGGGTACTCAAACTCAAGAAAAAAATGAATTGCTTGCCAAGTTTGGCATTGATTACAATGCGTTGCCAATTATCTTTCGGATGGGGTCCTCTGTTTTCCGGGACAGAGTAAATCTCTCTCTCTCTCTGCTGAAGATGCTATGTTTGCTTGAAGTACTTTATGTTGTTTTTGATGATATTGTATACCAAGCTTGTATCCTTTAGTTTTAGGCTTCTACCACCATATGGATAATAAACTGTGTGCTCAAAAAAGTTCTGTCGTGAATATAAACAACATAAATATAGTACCTTAACAAGTGTTTTTTGGTTCTTGTCATTAATGTGATAATTAACTCCAGAATAAGCATGTTTTCATCTAAATTGTTCCTGGTCTCATCTGTATTCTTCGTATTCAGAAGCTACACTTGGTACATAAGTTCATTTGCAACACAAGTGTCATTGTTTTTTACTTCTATTACAGATCAAACTGATGGAGTGGGTATTCACTTTTACTTTTTGCTTCTGAACCCAGGATGAACCAACAGGAAATGACAGAGTAATTGTTGAACACTGTAACATAATTGAGACGAGCTTTTGGAAAGACCATCCAAGAATACTCGATGAGGAGGAGTCATTGCTAACAATTTTACGGCCCCATAGCAATAAAATTCTTCGATTGTCTTGAAGTTGAGGAGCTGCTACCTAAGTTATTAACCATATCCAGTTTTAATCACATTAGAAAAATAGTTCCAAACTTTGTCAAATATGTAGATTAGCCATTTGATTTTGATTTTTTCCCTTCCCTCTTTTTTCTTCTTTTAGAGATTTGTCTAACAAAACTCTCTTGTATATTGCAGTTCACTCAAGTTCATTTTGTAAACAAGATTTTTGTGTTACATCACATTCTATATATATTTGTTCTCATCTTCTTGGCATACAGTTGGGGACTCCTAAAACAGGCATAATTGGAGAATTAGCCTTCCATTCTTTTTGAAAAGTACTTCATCACAAGAAGGAAAAGTAAAAGAAAAGAAGGTAAATCGAAGGATAATCGCGTGGTGTACCCCTCAAATTTATGTAAATGGTAGCACTTGGCATTGAGAACACTATAATTTTACAACAGGATGTTACAACATGATTGACCTATCAATAAACTATACATAACACATTTATTTTTAACAAAAAAAATGCAGGCTCCTAGACTGAAGAATGTGTCTGCTCATTGACTTGAATTATAGAATGCAGACTTGAGCCATCTGGAATCCCCAATGGTACATTTTCACATGAACAGTTATCAACATTGAATAGCTCCCACTCTTTGATACCACATCTATCCAATGCAGATATCAACCTTTGTTTTTCCTTCTCAGCTGGATATTGTCCATCTGGGCTGACAAGAACTGCCCCAGTATATGACTGCCCCGCCACTCGTGCAGCTCCATGATAGTGGAACAGACCCCAGCTCAAATCATCAGAAACATCCACAATTGTCCAGAACTCGTTAGAAACGACTCCATTATCCAATACACTGAAGTGAAATGTTCCTGTAGCTTTTCCTCTTTTCACTCTATACTTACGCCTTCTCCAGACTAGGTCTCCTTCAAGTGTTTTTACCTGGAAAACTGGTTCATACCAGAATGATCCTCTAGCTTTTCCCCGATAGAATAATTGGTACTGGCATGGAAATTGATCATAAGCTGGATTCTGCCCTGCTACAACGCGCCAACTCCATTCCAATGTCCCTAACCAACCAACAAAGAGGTCTTCAGCAATTTCAGTAGACAATTTCTCCCCTCGAAACTCTGCCATTGGAGTCACATAAGGCTTTTCAGGGATCTTTGCATCAAGTTCAAGACAATTATTCTTCTGTAGTACAAAGAGAGAGAACTCTTCCAGATATTTTCTCTCATATGAAGCAATACAGCGAAATTACATACATGATCTACAGGGCTGCAGTTGTTCAAGCATTGAAGTGCCTTCCTACAGTTAGGATCCAGTAGACAGTTCAATATCTGAGGCCCACAATTTGTCACCATGCAGTTCAAGGTGGAGAATCCTTTTGCTCTAAGGTTCTTCAGCGTTGAAACCGGTGTTATATAAGCATTAATTATAACTAATAAGCAGAACCGTATGTCATCAGAATTATGCCTTTCCCAAGCGTCAAACACTGTTCGGGTTATCTCCACAGATTCATCCAGTTTCTTAGATTGAGAGAATGGAAGTGAACTGCTAAATATGTCTCCCCTCTTTTTAGTTTCAACAAAACTTCCACCTAACTTGTTTCTCAGTGCCAAAGAGGAATCAAAGCATATGATGTTTGGGGCATTCTGGCTGTTAGACTGTATCCAGTTGACTGATCCTTCCTTTCTGACAGCAACGACCACCAAAATGTCAGCACGATCCAGCTCATTGCTGATGTGGTTGACAGTTTCATCTTCAGATATGACAATCATTTCAAATTCTTCATCAACCCATTTCAGTCTCTCTGCCTTGCATTTATAAAAGGAGGCAAAGTACAATTAATATGTATATTCTCATAACTGTGAAGGGAAGCAATGTTCTCACAAAAAACAAGCCTCGTTATTGTAGTGTTGGGTGAATATTTCAATGAGCATCAGGACCTCTTTCATACTAAGAACGTTTCTAGCATGAGGCCAGACAGTTTACATAAGTGATTGGTCATCCAGTTTTTCCACAATATACAAGTTCTCTTAAAGAAAAAATGCATCTATTCCACAATATAAAAGTTGTTCATGCACATTACATTTCTTCCCTTTTCCTCTACATATTGCTTTTCTCCGGTAACTAGAATGTTTCCGTTTGCCAGATTATCTAGTTATACTGAGAATCTCATAATTTCATTCCTGTAAGTAGCTGAACCAGCAGCGGATATTGCTCATCATCAAATTTACAGGATGATGAAGCAGCAAAACAGAATTTCAGCAGTCTATCAACTAATAGTATGAGCAACATATTTTTGTCCCTTTGTATAGTTTCTTGTTTCTATTTTAGTCAAAAGACCAACTTCAAATTGTGAAAGCTTCCTAGTTTACTTTCCAATAAGAATATCAGGTAGAAATGCTCTAACACCCTTGTTCTAACCTATTTTGCTCGAACTCATAAAAAATGCCTGTCGAATCCTCCAAAAGTAATGCATTTGCACTGAGACTTAACCATCAAGGACAAATATGTATCCAAAATTGAATGACAAGGACAAATATATCAAAAAACTATTACAAGGGCTAAATATAACCTTTTTATGAGAGTAAAGGTGCAAATTGACCCTTTTCCACTAAAGGAATGATATTGTGTTTCTATATTCAGTAACAACTTAACTTTAAAATACGACAATTTATCCTTAATATGATGATTTACCGCCACAAATTTCAAAAGTATTTATCTTTACCCTGTGTCAAGTTAAACACATTCACATGAAATTGGGATGAAAGGAAAATAGTTAACTCTGTATATAAATTTCGAGTTGAAGAAAGTAATCGGAGTTGCAAAATACTCACAGTGTGAAGCATGACGTCAAGCCAAGGAGTAGACTTGAGAGGGCTAACACTACCCTCTCCAACAATCCCAACTATTCTCACCGGACCCGTCTTTTTCTCTGCTTTATCCATGTCCGCCGCAGCTACGATTCTCCCACCACCTGTAATTTTCCGCCAAAGAAAAGAAGGAAACATGGACCCGTTAATTTTCCGGTAGTGGAGAAGAAATGGGTTCGGTAGTCCGGCGACATTCAACCTCCGGTTAATCGGAAATGTTGCCGGAGAATTGATGGTGGAGGACGATAGTGCTACGTTTACAATCATGGTTGATTAAAAAAATGGGTAAGCGGGTCGGGTTTTTATAGTTTGTATATAAGAATTAAATTTTTTCATATATTTTTTAATTATTTTGAATTGGCAATTAATGTGATTTATATTACTTTTTACGTAGTTTATAAACATATAAATTTTATTTTAAAAAAATTGAAGATTTCATTCGTAAATTTCTAATCAAATTTAAATTGTTTGACTTTCGAAAAATAAAAAGAGTCACGGACAAAAAAAATATAGACTATAGGTTTTTTGGAAGTTGCTCGATGTTTCATGCAAAGAAAATTCCACACAAATCACAATGTGTAGGACATATACTAGACACACAAATAAAATAATTAAAATTTTAAATTTAATTGATAAATAAAATATGACGGATTACAAATCACTTATTAATGAAAATTATTGAATAAAGCATATACATCGACTTATTTCATTGACCATCTTCCATGTCGATCCACTAAAGAATCTTACAAATCAATGGGATTGACTAGTAAAGCTTCAATCACAGATTTCACATTATTTTTTGGATCACTATATTCATCTTGATTGTTCTTATAAACGATTATTCGATTATTAACCATACACAAAATTAAAAGAAACAATTCATTCAAAATGTGAAAAAAGAGACAACAATCCATTCAAAACGAAAAATAGTTAGAATGACTTAAATTACCGAGCTTTCAATCACTGAATTTACTATCAATAAAGCTTTAAAATTCACTATATTGGTCTAGAAGGAAGAGACAATAACATTTTTAGTCCCACAAAGAATTGTCATAGACACTCTTATACATGAAATTAATATGATAAATGTTTTCACCTTGGGCATTTTTGCTTTCAATAAGTAAATTATAAAGAAAATTTAATGAAAACATATATAAGATCTTTAAAATTGTTTATAAAAACAATATATTAAGTATGTATATTAATAAAGTATATGTATATAATTCATCGGTTTGGTTCGGTTATTTCTTCGGATTTTTCCAATAAAATCATAACAAAACCAAATACTATCGATTTTCAAAAATCTAAAATCAAACCAAACCAAACCCAATAAAATCGATTTTATTTTATCGGTTTGGTTGGTTTTTCGATTTTGGATTGGTTTTTATCCAAACCGTGAACACCCCTAATGAGAATGTTATAAAAAATCACTACTAAAAATAATGAAAAATTCCATTAATGGGGTAGGTCCAAAAGATTAAGGAAAAATCGATTTTGTCGGTCAGTTTTTTTTTAAAAAAAATAAAAAATAAATAAATAGATAACCATGGGGTATCTATCGAATTTCTTTTCGCAAAAAAATATAAATTGACACAATCCCTCGATTTTTAGTATTTTATTTTTTACAAAACACGAAGGATAGAATCGATTTTTGAAGTGTAAAACTGAAGTTGAAGATTATAAATAATAACTATGAAAATATTTTATTAAAGATCATGTGTGGTCAAGTGGTAGAGTTGTCCAAAATCATAGAAAATACTTGAATTTGATTCAAAGTAGCTACATTTTTTATGTATATTTCTGAAAGACTGGTCATGTCTGTCGATTTTTCATAACCAACAAAAACCAACCGACGAATAATCATCCCTGCCCGTCAATTTCATGAAAGCAAGGAAGGCAAAATCGATGATGCATAGTTGTTTTAAAAGAATGACTTTGTCCATCTATTTTTAGAAGTGAATGTTTAATTTATAATATGTTGGCAAACACATATATGTAAAAATGGTACTCACAATACCTTATAAGTTGCTATATCATCAATAACTCTACCAATTATTGCAGAAGCCACAAGAATTTTTGGTTTATTCATTATCCAATCAAATGTTTTCTTTGATCTTGATTTCATCCCCAATAATGATGTTGGTGCAAGTAGATAATAAGTTCCAGTAACCAATGCATTGCCCAAATACTCTTTAAATGATGGAATTTTTCCTTCAAGAAACCATTTCTGCTTCAATATAGTAACTCTTCACAATTTCTTTCATCTATTCAAAAATAAATAATAAAATTATAACATTTATTAAAATATAGTTTAAAAATTCATAAAATCAAAAGAAAATAATATTTGTGTTTTTAATTAAGTGACATACTGCCTCTTTGACATAATGAACTCCATTGAATCTATCTTGTTCTAATTCGATTTTGATTTCATACTCGTTGAAGAGATCGAGAAGAGATGTGTATATCGGTTTCATATAGTTTGGAAGTCGATCAACTTCACTTATATCCCACCTATAATCATACAAAAAAAAGGTTAATTGATTGTAGATATACACTCTCCATATATCAATTATCTGATATACTTTTTTATTTGCCTTAATTTATGTGACATACCGGTCCACAGCTTCCGTGAATATAATTAGTTCATCAAGAGTTCCATAAGAGTCATATGTGTCATCAATTACTGAAATCATAGCTATGCATTTTGCAAGCATAACTCTAGCTTGAGAGTATTGTGGTTCAAAGTACACACCAACTGCCCAAAAAAAACATTCCACCATTCTATCTCTCACATATGAAAGTTTTGATGCAAAATCCAAAAAATTTCCACCACCTTCACAATAAACAAGAGTAATGTTTAGTTAACTTAATATATAATACGTCATATGTTTCAATTTATTTGTCCTGTTTTAGCTTGACATAGAGTTTATATACGAAAGTCAAAAAGACTTTTGAATCTTCTGATCTTAATATAAAAATATATCAAATATACCAAAATATACGTTATTTAATCTTGTGATCTTAAACATGTCACATGGATATTTGAAATTAAAGAGTTGTCAAGAACATGAAATAATTAAATATTTTTAAAAAAAAACAGGCTAAAAAGAAAAGTAGTACAAACAAATTAAAACAACTTACTGTGTGAGTTCACTAAGCTCTTCCTTGTGTAGCACTTGTAACAAATTGTAATCTAATTTGGCAAGCCTTAGTAGCTTTTCATTTCTTGATTCACATTTTTCATATATTGAAATGTTAAAATGTGCCTCAGCTCTTGGGATTCCTCTATGAAGAGATTGCATAAGTGCATGTGTTACTTGTTTTTCAAGAGTAGAATCCATTAATGTATGTGTTATCCTCTCAAGATGGAATTTTGCAAAAATAAGTGCATCTTCTAATATGTCACCACCATGTTTTCTAACATGTGTTGCTTCATACAAACTTAACAAGCCCTTTGCATTTGTAACTAGAGTTTTCTTGAATTCTCCATTGTTGTCCTTGAATTGGTTGAAATAATCTAATTCACAAAGTATATATCGTTATGTCAGAGTTACTGTTAGATGTGTGAACAAAGTCTCATCCTTATATTGATAATTGGAAAGACAAAAAAGGCGTGATGATATTAAGAGTATCTTCAGGCTGACAAAACGTAAGACGTTCAGTATAGAAACATACCGGAAGAGATTGGATATCCATGTTGTCTAAACAATCGAAAATATAATGCAATCTTGTATAAATCATCTTCTTCATGAATGACATTTTGATCAAACATCTTGCTTAGTTGATCTTCAATCTCCTTCTCAAAGTGATAATAAATACCAAGACGTTCAAGAGTGTCAATCAAATGAACTTTTTGTTCAATGTCATTGCTAGTAGTAGTAGTACTTATTATCATGTGTTTCACTTCTTCTTTCAAACCCTCAATCTCCTCTATAACTTTTTCGGATATCTATAAAGACAAATAAACAAGCATATACAGTCAAATCATAGTCTATAACAGTCGTCTATAATAACAATATTTAATCATTTATATTGTATGCAATCAAGAAATATCAAGACAACATATGTCGTTATAAAGAGACTTGATTGTATACATATATTTACCTGATTATTCCGAGTAGAATTGCTAAAAATATTCCCCCATAGACTAGGAGAAAAATTAGCCTCTAGACGAAAAATTCCATTTTCATTGTTTACATTTCCAGCCAATGAAGTCATTGTTGCCATACTATGATAATACTTTGTAAAATCTGAAAATTTATTCAATTTTTGGGTTTTTGAGTGTGTTCTGTGCTTAGTCTTTTGCTATTGGTATCACTATTTATACAGAAAATTATAATAATTTAAAATGTGAGAGAAACACTTTTTAGAAATCGAAGAAATGTTAGGCAGCATGCCATTCAAAAATTCTATCTAGGAGGTCTATTTATTGTTGAATGTATTACTTTTCAAATTAAAATTTGTGAATCATCGTAGTTTTATTAATATCTGTCCAATTTATGTATACCAATATCTTTTGTATGTGTTAAAAATCTAGATTCCTTTTGGATTTTTATATGGTAAATTTTTTAGGTGCTTTTAAAATTTTGAGTTGTAGACATGTGATTATTGATCAAAACTCAAGTTTTATATTTTTTATTGTTTAAATATTTCTTTTAGGTCTAAATTAAATCTTTTAATTTTTATTTCATTTTTAGTAAGTTTTACTTTTAAAAATTGAAAAACTACATAAATAGAATCACATACATTTTAAAAATATATTTTGTTGTTACTTTTTGAATTAAAAGAAAATTTAAAAAAATATGTTTAAAAAAAATTTAGATTTTAATAAATAAAATAGTAATTTTAGAATTTTCAAAGAATATTTTATTTTAATTTAGCTATTAACTTTTCTTATATTTTTGTTATTGTCAAATAGTTAGCATATATATATATTTAAAAGACCAAAATAAGTAAAAAGGGAGGAAAAGTCCTAATCTTTATGTATTCCCCCAACCAAAACCAAACAAGGAAAAGTCACATAGTAGCAAACAAGTATCATGTGTTTATTGTACATGCTAATTACATTTTTTAAAAACTATATACTATAACCATATTTTACTCTTTCTAGCATCTTTTTTTTTTCCGTTTAATCTCGCTCATCTTTCTCCCTCTCAGGACTCCCTCCTTTCGTCTCCCCCCCCCCCCCCCCCCCCCCCCCCCCCCTCCCCTCCCTCCCTTTTTAGCCTCTGTTTTTAATTTGTACTTTGCGTTGTGTATTCGTATAATTAATTATATATTT